TGATTCAGACAACACAGTCAACTCGCCAAAACAATTCTTGGAGAAACTTAAAGGGGTAAATTTCCTGCCAAGCGACGTCATGATATCATTTGATTTTGCCTCCCTTTTTACGCCTATTTCGCAGGATCTGAGGGTCGAAGCCATCGGAACGTTTCCACAAAGCAAATATGATGAAATCGGCTCGAACACACGCAAATCCTTCAGCTCCTGAAATTCTGTCTCAAGACGCATTTCACGCCGATTTTGGGACTCACATCTGAGGCGATCTTACAGCGGTTGGAGTCGCTGATCGTCTGGCACCACAGAGCGAAATTATAGGTTTTTTATGTGAATGACACTGTCGCCATCGAATGGGTTTAAGTGATGGCGTTCAAAGCACACCTCAACGCCGTGTTCCCGGAGATACAATTCACGATGGAGCAGGAAGAAAACAGTCACCTAGCGCTCTTTTATGTCCACGTCCTCCACAACGATTGTAGTGATTTAAAGCGAAAATGTTCAGGGAAGCAAATAATACGATGCAAGCACTGAGCTTCAGCAGCAGCCACCCAAACAGACACAAACACAATTACGTAAGGAAGAAGTACCGGCGTGCTGGGACGCATTGTAACGAACCGGAAGACAAGGTTTTTGGCTTACAATATCTTCGACGGCTGCTAAGGAAAATGGTTACCCGCGCAACATTATAGGCCGGTGCATGGGTGAACACGACAGGGAACAAAATTCGGTTGGATCTTATTTCGTGCCCGTACCTGCAGTAGACAAGCCCCAGCCTAACCCTTAACCCCAAACCATAATCTTGACCCATAACCCAAACCCCTAACCCTAACCTCTAACAGGTACGATCACGAAATAAGATCTTGCCCAAAATCCAACGGGCCCCAAATTTTGGCAAACACCCCCGTACGTTAAGAACGTCTCAGAAGCCATCGGCCGCCTTCTCACACCACTCAGAGTTGACATTGCATATTGGCCGGAGGTAACCATCAGGAGCCAGGTTATGAGGCGGAAGGAACCGCTCGCAAGGCAGGAAACGTCCGGCGTCGTATACCGGAGCTGGAGCAGTCGCAGACAAAGCAACCACGTCGGTAAAACTGGAAGATTACTCTGAACGTTAACAACCAAACATGCAGGAGCAGCAGCAGCAGTGAGGACTAACACTAGACGCGGCTCATTCAACGAGACCCGGCCACACCTTAAGTTTGCCAAATTGGTGAGGAATCGACACCCCAAAAATCAACAAATGTGATGAAATCGCGACAATTAACGGCTAAAGTATGGACCGGCAAGCAGTCATCGCACCAAATACTACCCCAGTGATGAACGCGAATGTCGCCAATTACCGTAGGCATGTGGTTACCTGGCAACCGCGTCCTACAAATGCTGCGTCCCCTATACCTCCAGTACCCTTTTCTGCGACTTCCTCTGACGATGAGTCCGAGTAAGAATCTGAGACGTCAAGCCAATAAGGCTCTTGTTCCAGCGATCGCATTTTCTGCTTCTGCTAGAATTTTCGCCTCATAATGCCAACATAATGCCAATTCATCCTATTAATCAAACTTTCACTTTCTGACCCATTTAAATAATTCCGCAATTTGCTGTCTAACGTCCTCCGATCGGTCCCTGGACTGGCAATTTCTACTGTTGCAGTAAGCATCTAGAAAACACTCCCAGCATATTTTCAGTTAGTAATCAAAATCAGGGCTCAGAACTGGGCAGAGCACTACCTCGTTTGACCTTCCTCTTGCCCACTGCTTCGTCCTCTGATCCGTATTTACAGTATATTTGTCTTTCTGAAATAACACATCCATCGTTATATTTGCTCACAGAGGGCAGCCGTGGAGAAGAAAGCATCTGGACGCAAGAGTAGAGATTTTGCTCTGTAAAACATTAGCAATGAACTCTTTATAGTCCATTGAGATGTAGTCTTTCAAGACTTGAACGTCAAATCTCACTCGATGGTACATACGTTACTACTTTTTTTCGGATACCTCATGTAGTGCTGCTTTCTTCGTCCGAGGCGTATGGCACCTTCCACTGCCATGTATTTTCATCTTTCAATACTTTTATGGGGTTGCAATGTAAGTTGTTTACCACGGTTTTCGAACTCTCCACTGCTAAGATTTATTACACGGAACAGCGCGAAATCGCTCCCATCCAAATCAGTCAGTTTTACTTCTTTATGCATCCGCATAATGTGAAATATGATCGAAGTTAATTGACTTTAGAAAAAAACTCGATTTGAGAGTTTTACTTACTGTGGTGTAGTCCCCTATCCAACGCTCATATGTGGCCCCCCGAAGCTAGGCTCTGCCTAGCGGTCACACCCCGGTAACCGCCTCGAACGGCGGGCTAAACCAGGTGAGGGTATCTGTGTATGCATCTCCGAACACGATAATCTCAGCTTCGCTAGCCGGATGGGTCACCGCATCGGCATCGTCGAGGCGAGGTTCCATCTGGGACACCGTGTGAGGCCACAAGGTAAGGGAGCTCCAAGGTAAGCGAACGTTTCTCTGCTGCATTTGCTTGCTCATGTTCGCCTGCTCTCTGTCTGCTTGTTTGTTTTTGTCCTTGTTGAGAGCTAAAGGCCGTTCTGTTAGATTTCCTCTGTTACATGTGCTTCTTGCTTTTAATGCTTACTTGCTTTTGTCTGCTTGTTCGTGTCCATGCTCACTGTAAGTTCAATGCCATTATGTTGATTGTGTCTGCTCATCGCCTATATATCAGTAACTAGTTTAGCTTAGATAGGGACGGAAAAGCTCTGCATCCCCTCTCTCTACCCTCCCCTACCCCCTCCCCCTTCAGCTTACGCGATGTCGTAGGCACTCCCAGGCTAACTCGGGTGGCCCTCCTACTAAACGAAGACTTGGCCCATAGTGGACTTCGGCAGTCGTCTGGGCCAACTGGGCAGCCCCATTTAGGGAGAGCACTGCTCACCCCCGCGAGGAGGAAGGGGCTAGAAAAGGTGTCCTAAACAAATGTTGGGGAACCACGCTGACCGTGGTCGCAAACGCAAAACATACGGTCGAATTAATTAAAATCGGGTGAGTCCGCTCACTCTGGCAGCCTGGAATATTCATTTCCTTTTAGACGATCCGAAGTGCAGCCGACCAGAACGGATGACGGCGCCTTTGCCATCCGGAATGACATCGTGAACGACTGCTCTGACTGTCACAGGACATCAAAGGTTGCCTGACGAGCCTTCACCTGCCTCTCCGGGAAGGAAAACTCACCACCATCATCAGCGTCTATGCCCCCTCCCCGATGACCAGACCCGACGAGGCGAGGAACAAATTTTACGAGGACCTGTACGCCCTCCTGTCGACTGTGCCGAGAGTGGAAAAGCTGATTGTCGTCGGTAACTTCGACGCCCGCGTCGGCACAGACCATGCTGCCTGGAGAGGAGTGCTGGGTCCCCACGGTCTCGGCAGTTCCAATGACAATGACCTGCTCCTCCTACGAACCTGCGCAGAACACCGGTCCATCCTGGCTAACACGTAATTCAGCCTCCCGATGCGAGAGAAGGCCGCCTGGATGGACCCTCGGTAGCGACATTGGCACCTGTTGGACTACGTCCTCGTCCATAGGCGACACCAGCGGGACGTACTTATGACGAAGGTGATTAAGGGTGCTGACGGGTGGGTCGACCATCGCCTCGTCCTCTCCGAGATACGGATTCATCTACAACCTCGCAGGAGACTTCAAGGCAAGCGACCATCAGGTAAGCCGAATATTGCTCTGTAGTCTTTGTTTGCCAACCATCTCCATTTCAGAAACGAGCTAGCCGCTGCCGACGACGAGTACGCCCCCGTGGAGAACCGATGGTGCCAACTCGGGGACACAGTCCAGTCAACGGCCCTGGCTGTCCTCGGTCGCGCACGTCGCCAACATCAGGGCTGCTTCGATGACAACGACGCCGCCATCAGCAAACAGCTCGCCAAGAAGAACCGGCCGGATTTGTGTTTAGTCCTTCCCTGACAGTGCCTGTAAACCGGCATAAAGTATGCTAATTAAGATTGCTATTATTATTTTTATTATTTCTGCAAAGCCTACTTCAACGGCCTCACCGACAACAACAAAGCAGCCTTCTATCGTAGTTGCCGCCTTGTGAAACAGCGGCTGTGGGAGGTGTACGACGCTTGGACGACCCGCAAGGCCGTGGAGATCCAAGAGTACGCGAACCGCAACGAATGGAAGAATTCCTTCTCCGCGATCAAGGCTGTCTACGGTCTGCCAACAAAAGGAAGTTCTCCTCTTCTCAGTGCCAACGGAAGAACCTTACTCACCAAGAAGACAAAACTTCTTCAGCGATGGGTCGAGCGCTTCAGAGGCGTCCTCAAACGTCTATCAACCAACTCCGACGTCGCCACCGCCTCAAGTGAAGACCAACGCCGATCTCGGCCTCCCGCCCTCTCTCCACGAAACAATCAAGGCCATGAAGCAGCTCTCGAGCGGTAAAGCGTCCGGATCGTATGCGATCCCCGCTGAGATCTACAAGCACGGTGCCCCCCCAACGCATGGATTATCTGACAGCGCCCTTTCAGGAGATGTGGCGTCAAGGAGAGGTCCTGCAGGATTTCAAGGACGCCACAATCCTGCACCCCAACAAGCGGAAAGGGAACCGTCAAATCTGCGACAACCGCCGAGGAATTTCCCTTCTGAACATCGCCGGAGAGATCTTCACTCTAATTCTTTTCGACCGCCTGAACAACCATCTGTAACCGGGTCTCCCGCCGGAAAGCTGTTACGGCTTCCGTCGTCATCATGGGACCACGGACATGTCCTTCGCCGTCTTCCAGTTGCAGGAGAAGTGTTAGGAGATGCGGATCTGACGAAATCCTTCGATACGCTGAATCGTGAAAAACTGTAGAAAATCGTGCAGAAATTTGGTTTTCCCGAACGATTCACTGGGATGATGCGTCAGCTCCACGATGACATGGTGGCGCGAGTCACGGACCATTGAGCTGTCTCAGAGGCATTCGCAGTGACCAACGGAGTGAAGCAGGGCTGTGTCCTCCAACCTACCCCTTTCAGTCTCATGCTCTCTGCCATGCTGATGGCCACCTGCCGTGACGAACTCCCCGGGATCCACGTCGCCTAAAGAACGGACGGTCAACTGCTCAACTAACCAGAGGATGCACTTTCAATCGCGTGTCTCCACAACCACCGTCCACGAACTTCTGCTCGTCGACGACTCTGCCCCAATGCAACTACTGAAGGAGACATGCAAAGGAGCATCGATCACTTCTCCACCGCCTGCAAGAACTTCGGCCTGACCATCAACACTGAGAAGACGGTGGTCATGCACCAACCGCCACCCAAGACTGCCTAAAAAGCCCCGCAAATCAGTGTGAACAGATCCCAACTGCAAGTGGTAGACAACTTCACGTATCTGGGCAGCACCCTCTTCCGCAGTACCAAAATCGACGTTGAAGTGACCCGCCAGATTTCTAAGGCCAGCCAAGCCTTCGGTCATCTTCAAAAACACAGTTTTGAATCGTCACGTTCTTCAGATCAGCACGAACCCGAAGACGTATAAGGCGGTCATCCAACCACGCTGCTGTATGGAGCGGAGACCTAGACGGCGTACAAGAAGCAGGCGCGAAAGCCCAATCACTCCCACCTAAGTTGTCTTTGTCGCATACTGAAGCTGAGGTGACAGAACCGTATCCCAGACACCGATATACTGGAGCGAACGGGAATCCTCCGCATCCACGCTATGCTGAGACAACTGCAACTACGCTGGAGCGACCACCTCGTACGGATGGGTGACGAGAGGCAACCTAAGCGACCCTTCTATGGGGATGTCGTGAGAGGTTCGCGGCGACAAGGAGGTAAAGTCCGGTGCTACAAGGATATTCTGAAGACAGCCCTGATACGCCTGCAGATCAACCCGGAAAACTGGGAAGACCTCGCCCTGGACTGACCTACGTGGAGGAGAACGGTGAAGATAGGCGCAGCAATCTTCGAAGCTAAGCGCATCACCGCCGCCAAAGCCAAACGCGAAACACGTAAAGCTCAACTGCCGCCGCCGCCGCCGCCGCCGCCGCCGCCGCCGCCGCCGCCGCCGCCGCCGCTGTCTCACAACGCCAACGCTCAACCACCTCCAGCGTGTCCACGATGTCAAAGGACATTCAGGGTGCCAATTGGACTTGTTGGACACCTTCTGACCAATTGTAACACCCGGACTACATCAACCGTCGTCTCTCCGTTCACCTCTTCCTGGCTTCCCACGCCGTCAACTAACGTTGACCACCCTCCCGAACCACCACTAACATCCACCTCCTTCTCTACCGCCTCAGGACTGTGCTACTGTGGCGTCTGACATGTCCATCAACGCTACACACAATCCTGGCACACCAGCAAACGTCAACACCACCACCGTCAACACCAGTGATGAGGACCTGGTCTATGCTTGTCCTCATTGCGATCGCCCTTTCCCTCACACATCGGACTGGCCAGTCACTTGAGAATCTATCGCACGGAGACTGGCGAACCAGTGCCTAGAGCACCAACCTACACCCGCCAAACCCGCTGTTACTGTCCACACTGTCCTCGCAAATTCCTGCACCCCATGGGCCTATTCGGGCACATGCGTATCCACGAGAGCGGAACTGACCGCAGCCCCGACACACCTAGCACACCCAGCACACCCATCATGCCTAGTCCCGTCCACACTCCGCCACCCAGCGCACATACCGTCACCAGCTCCATCACACTCAGTACATCTTGTACATCCACTATGCTCAGCCCAACCCACACCCTGTCGCCCAGCGAGTCCACCACTAGCTCCAACATCTCCATCACCGAAGCTGATACTGACACCGCCGACTTCTCGTTTCTACACTGTCCCCGTACATTCACCTCACGTGCCGGCCCGGTCGGTCAAATGCGAATCCGCCGCACAGAGACTGTCGAACTAGTGTCTGGAACATCAGCCTACACTCGCCGCATCCGCCTCCACAGTCCACCCTGCACGAACACATTTATTCACCGCATGGGTCTATTAGGCCACATGCGCGTCCACGAAAACCCGCGGTAGACAACTACCGGCTGCACCAGACCATTCCATCCTCCCTCACCATCATCTCTCCGCACATCAACATCATCCACCTCTAGCACCCAACTGCCACCTCCCACGCGAGTGGGACGTGTGCGCCTCGGCTTCTTCTTCATACGGCTCCCCTGCTGCATTTTTGATCAAAGTTTGAGACGAAGACGGTGCGTCGAGCGTCGTGGCTCGGAAGGAAGCCAAGTGACTCCTCAACTCGGTCCAGGCAGCCTGCTCAGTTGTGTGTGTGTGTTTCTGTGGAGTGGCGGACTGGTGGGCTAAGAGTCAGGCTGTGACGGCCCCTTCTCAAACGATCTGACATTCGCATGCATATGAGGAGGGTGCTTGTGTTTGAGTGTGTGCTCTATGGGTAGGGCCTCTCAGCCGACGATTGTTTGGTTACCTGACCTTAAAGGGTGACGGCGCAGGCTAGATGTAATGCCACCTGTCACCCTTCTAGGTCAAAAGGTCTGAAAGCGTGTGCTACGCCAATAGAAGCAAACCATGGCCATCGCAGTCTGGTATGCGCTGGCAGTCCTCTGACAACTGGTTCCCTGCCGGTAGATGCGCGTGCGCTCCCGTTGGATAGACAGGTGGTGGGTATGGCTGCCCAGTCATCATCCTCGTCATTCTGACCCCTGTTGGGATGTTATTGCTGTTGTTGTTGCTGGTCAAAAATCAGGTCATTTGCTGTGTGAACCAGGGGGTGTGGATTGGAACGCGAAGGTGCGGGCTCGACCGCGCCATTCATCTGCGCCCTCCCCCACCCCCAGTCTTCTTGACTCTGTCCTGACACCGGGTCCTGGTGGGGAATGGGGAGGAGAGAGTGCGGCAGATGCTGCGCAAGCCTACTATCAGTATAAACTAATTCACGCGCAAGTCACCGTGCCTGCAGCACCTTGGTGTGTAGTGCACGCTGGACGTCGTCAAAATCGACAGTCGAACTGTCATTCTCCTCACTGGTCTGTGATGACAGCCACTTTAGTCTGGACGCAGCGTAACCTTCGCACTGCGATACATTCGTAGCATTGTTGTGAAGAAATTCCGGTCTATTAGACAGTCCAATTCGACAGCCATCTTTTGAACAGTCTTAACGCTTAATACTGAATTATACTATTTTAAGAAAGGAACTTATCCGCACCAAAGTCTCCACTTTTTGCATCCTCATGTAAAAACGGAATCGGCCTGCGCAAAAATTGTCGAAACACGAGCCAACGGCAGGGACCTTGTAACTGTGCGAAAACTTGTTTTAGAATAGTGCAGTAGGCATCAGTAGATTTTTACATAGCTGAACTATCTTAACTTGTCCAGAAAATTATTTCAACTCTTGGAATACTTGTTGCAATATCATTCGATGCTGATCATACTGATCAACATTTTTCTAAGCAGCTGCGACGCAGCCACTGCCGGTGACTGAAGTTTAGTCAGCCTGTCAAGTGCAGCTCAGAGAGAGGGCTGAGGACTCTGATGCAACAACGCATTCAACAACTGGAATTTTTATCATGTTGATAGCCGACTACACATCGACACGCCTGGATCTCTGTCAATTTGTCAGACTTTTAGTGCGCTGATGGCTCCCTGTGGAAGGAAAAAACAACTACGCACAGTATTCTGGAACGCGAGAAACCCTTTGCCAACGATGCAGAGCCTTATCACCTTTGTTGACGCAGTAAAACATCGACGTCGCCAGCGTATTCTGGATGCGCCCCCCAGACAAACGCCGCAGAAACGTGTTCGTTTGTGCCACAGCGGTGTCACTTATGATTCTGGTCAAAATGGCGTCGCAGACATTCCGAGTGATCAGTTGAAACCCATACCGAGATCACCGAAGGCTTTAACAGTATTAAAATTGGCTAGGAGAGGACCAGGAGGCAATCCCATAGCAATTCCGCCCATTTTTCTGTACATTTGGTTGTCAAAAACGTAGGACACATTTCGTGTGCATTTTAGTAATAGTTCCTTGAGTGAGTTCGTCGGAATACACATTTCATGGTGATTAGTTGGCAGGAATTCACATATGTACTTAACTGTCTCCGTGATCGGAACGTTTGTGAAGATTGATGGGACATCAAGTGAAAACATCAGCCACACCGTTAAAATTTAGGTCTTTAACGCCGTCAATGAATTCGAAAGTACCCCGATAGCTATTTGTTGCTGACTGATACTGTGGAGGTCTGAGTTTCTCTGCTAACCACTTCGATATGGCATGATAGGGAGATTTACGCATATCCAAAATCGGACGGACTGGTAGGCCATTCTTGTGGATCTTCAGCAGACCATACAATCGGGGAATGTGTGTGCTTACCGGAGGGAGGTTTTCGAGTTCGCGGTGGCTTATGAAGCCTCCTGCATGGAGTCTGCGCAAGCAATCCGTTAGTTGTGCTTTTACGTCGCCTGTGGAATCTTTCGCTTTGTCGGCTTTCCTGAATTTCTTCCGGTCCGACAATATGGACTGTATTTTCACTACATAATCCGACCTATTCATTATAGCCACGCCTGTTGCTTTATCCGGTCTAGTCACCAACATATCTCTATCCTCTCTCAGTTGTTTTAACTTCTGTTTGTGAGCTTTTGTCAGCAGTCCCCGATTATTTTGTGTTTTTGTCCAGATACTGATAACTGCAAGTCACTAGTGTTGATTGCAAATGTTGGACATTACCTGTAGAAGTAGGTTTTAGATCGAACATATGGCTCCAAAGATTCTCGAACTGTGTCTATAGGTCTAGCTGATTGATCTTTCGACGAGGTATGCAGAGCTTAGGACCAAAAGACAATTTTTAAGTCAGTTTAAGTCAGTTTATTAAAGAAATGAGACTTTCGCCCTAGAGCTCCCTATTCATATCGATAAACAGCGATCGTGTCTCCTTCCTCATGTTCAGCTCTTTTGCTCCACGCCAATGTTTCCCGGAGTAAGTAAGCACGGTCACAAACCATACCTTGCCGACATCTGATGAGTAAATTAGTCCGATTCAAATTTTAGAGGCCTTTTTTAATGTTGGTTAAAACTGACCCATAACGATAAACAAGGCAGAATTGGTCATTTCAGATTTCGACACTTTTTAATTATGGGCAGCTCATGTCCATTCTGGAATGGACTTCTGACAAAGTGGTCAGGAGACCGTGTTTTGCGCCACATATTCAAATGAAGATCTATTCCTACTGAAGCTAACCATTCGACTTTCGTAAAACCGGAAACTTACATTCCGTAAACTCTGGGCTATCGAATAACACCCGATAGAGGAAAACAACCGTACGTCCCTCATTTAGGACAACGATCAATCAGGTTCATCGCCATTTTTCATCCCAAACTGTCATACCCGTGGCTTGTTGGGAGTAAGCAAACTCCAGGACTTTGCTTTGCTCTTGTATCTGTCAGAACATTTCAACTGCATGGAGAAAACCGGATCGGCAGAGATCCAAATCTGACAAACTGAGTACCAAGTTTGGAAATGGTCGCAACGTCCATTTTTGCAAATGGAGTACTTTGGACGTTTCCTCGCATACGTTGATATTCAGGTCGGCCTTCATGTACTTACTTTCGCAGACCGCCATTGTCTCAACTTTACTTTTATATTCGAACTGCCAATTTTTTCAATTATTCTTATATTCTGCATCTTTTCCATCATTGTGAATGTGAAACGCTGTATTCTAGCCACGCGAATGCCTCGATTTCTGGTAACCACCCCTTTTAGAGCCTTGAGGTTGACGTCTTCCCTATGATTAATCTTCGGGTTGGTTGAAAGCAATCTGTACCGCAAAACAGAATCAACTATAATTCTAAGTACGAATTTCAGACCTCAATTTAGGGTGTTCTATGCAATGTATCACGACACTACCACATTACTTTTGCAGGATATTGTATTTCAAGTCCCAGCGCAGACGCTCCTCGGTTGCCTCAGTCTCTCTATCCTGCACCTGCGTCTCTGGTCTTGGCGAGGACCAAAGCTGGAAGTTGGTAAATTTTGGCTGTACGCCAATCCAAAATCCCCCTGCACGTCCTTTCCTGGATGATGAATAAAAACCTGACGTTCCCGATACGATTGCTGACGTCTAAGTACGCTTGACGACTTACCGGTCACCTCCTTTCCATTGCCACGACTTTACTAGTGCGCTATCCAAAATATATTTTCCATCAATTTCCCGAGGCCAAAGTGTTCACAAATAAAGGTCCTCCATTACTGTGATCCACCGACACTACGAAGCATGTAGGTCTTTAGATTCTGCATGCATATCATTCAGCCTCCGAATAGTTAATCAAACAATTAGGTTTCTCAGTTTTCCTCTTGAATTTTCCGAACTCTACGAACTCTTCGTAATAAATGGCAAGATTCGAGAGCACCAGATAAACCTTACCATGATGTTAGAAGAGACTCATTATGCTGGCTTCATAAGCCACTTTTCTAAGAATACGTTCTCACCCCTTCTCCCTTACCAGTTAAACCAAATAAAACCCCATCAGTGCTTTGATGGGACCCCG